AGGCCCATTTCAATATTTTTGTTTCGTTTTTCTTTGAATTTCGATTTCGGTGGAAATTTAGCTACTTTTGATGTAACTTTGATGAACACGGCCTGATGGTCTAGTGGTATGATTCTCGCTTTGGGTGCGAGAGGTTCCGGTTTCGATCACCGGTCAGGCCCAGTTAAATTTTTTATTTTTATTTCTATTTCGTTCTCTTACGATCAATCAGGCGAAACATATTACGTGAAAAATATACCTTTTGAATCCTATCGAGGTATCGACCAATCAAAAGCGGTATAGCTATTGATTAGCACAATATCGGTGAAGAACTTACATGATCAATAGAAAACATTTATCTGAGCCAGAAGTGGACGATGGGACCAATTGATCGGAAAATGGTCACATTTTCAGCAGAAATGGACCACCTCACATAAAGTCATACGTTTTAAGGAGAAATGGAAAAGAAAGAATCTATATGCAAATATATATATAGATAAATGTCATAGGTTCACAAGATATTGACGTTATCCTGGTCTAACTTTCATTTATAAATATATGCGATATTTATCAATTTGATCCCTTTAGATCGCTTTAGTCCTTTTAGTCTTTTGAATCCATTTTTAGATCTAAAGTGATGAAAATGGACTAAAAGAACTAAAGGGAGTAAAGGAACGAAAGGGAGCAAAAGGACTAAAGGCACTACGGGGAGTAATAGAAGTAATAGGACTAAAGTAGTTAAAGGGATCTAAAGGATAATGAGGGTTTATATTTGTAAAGAAAAGGTAGACCAGGATAAATTTAATTTCTTTTGGATCCATCATCGAAAAAGCTTTTCAGTACAGCCCCGCTCGGGCTAAAATGTGGAACTCGCATATTACAAATCACTTAGAAACTGACCACATAGAGCGTTTTATTCTTTTTTTAATAGAATGAACTTCATCGTTGCTTTAGGAACACTATGGAGAAAAAAATAAAAATACCTGAATAAGCGAAAACGAAGAATTTCTTTCATTTATATGTACTAAGATGTTGCACAGATCAGCCCTATCCAGTCAGACAAGTAACGAAAAAATCGACGTTTCTATGCGTTAAAAGCGCACATTTTAACGTGTTAAAAAGAGACTTTTTTTGTGAGAAAAAAAACGAATCGATACATGTTAATACGTTTAAACTGTCTTTTAGTCAAAATAAAATTCTTTTAAACGCGTTAGAATATGAACTTTTTACCCATAAAACGTCGATTTTTTTTCGTCACTTGTCTAACTGGGTAGGAAGTTCTCACATAGTTCTAATTGCCATCCTGGGGTAGGTCCAGAAAGGTACAGGACCACCCCTTGGTAGTTTCTTGAAAGTTCTAGGTATCATCTGTAAGTAGATCCCAAATAGCTAAAGGGACCAACCATGGATAGGTCCTAAAACTTCTGACTACTCCCTCTGACTGAGTCCTTAGAATTTCTAAGTACCACCCTCGGCCAAGCTCAAAACACATATAAGTATTACCCTCATGTGATTCCTAAAAGGTTCTGAGTATCACCTATAGGTAGGCTCCTAATGGCTATAGGGGCCAGTTCTGGTCTGATCCTAGATAGATACTAAAAAATTCTAAGTAATACCTTTGGGTCGGTATTTATTACGGTAATAATTATTACACGTTATTACTTATCAGTTGTTGCTTTTATTAGTTTCAATTTTTTAAACTTTATTACTCGTAATAAATAATAAAAGTAATAATGATTAGGAATATACCGCTCACGCTCATGAGCGTAAGCTGTACACTCCTTTGTTGCATCCTACTTGATTTTTAAGTATCGAAAAATTCATCGGAACCTAGCAGAATTCATCGAAATTGACTAATATGTCAATCTTATCAGTTCACTCATGCTTCTTATCTGAAAATCCTACGACCAATTACTCCCTTTTCCGATCAGACTTTTTGGATCCTAGGATCCAATAGGATTCGCTTTTCCCCCTTGCATATCGGCTGTAGTAGAATTGGCCGAAAGAAAAAAAGTCGAAAGTAAAAAATGTCGAAAGAAAAAATGTCGAAAGTGCTATGAATCGAGTTTGAGCACACGTTGTCCATTTAAAAGTACAACGATGAATACTTCTACAGATTGCCCATATAGGATTGTTGAAAAACTGGGTTTATACTCTATCTGTAGCATTTTCGATATTTTTTCCTTTCGACGTTTTTTCTTTCGGCCAATTTTATTACAACCTGCATATCAGTGTGAGGAACTGAATTGTAGAGAAAGTCGGTGGATATAAAAGAAAAACGATTGAACGAACTAACATCCGTAGGAACTGGCTAAAAACGTTTGATCTTTGTTCTGAACCAATATATGCCGTTTGCAATCGTTATTTGATTAGACCTGCCATGTGACTAGTGGTGTTTTGTAAAACACAATAAAGCCAGTCGTAATTATTAATCATTCACGTATATTCGACTAGATGAGAAAGACTATTTCATCTTTATTGATTTGAAATCTTTTATTTTAGTCCAACATTTTCTTGCAAATGTATTTCACTTTGCTTGCTATGCATTTTTATTTGATGATTCATACACCTTCGCTGAAGTTTTACGCTTCCAGTATATATATATATATATATATATATTTATACGCGGTTTTTTTCCAACGTTTGAAAGAACAGAAAAAACACGTGATAAAAAAAAGATTTGTCAGTCAAAATAAACTACTAAAAACAAGCTTTTTTACCTTTTCTTTTTATTATTTTGGTAGTAAATAAATACGCATGACAACAACAACGCACATAAAATAAATGTGGCACCATTACTTGTTCATCCAGCGTAGATTGTATTTTACTTTTACATTTTAGATTACAATATATATCTTTTACATATGGCAGAGATCCAATTAAGTATTATTGTTTATGGTGATGCTGAAATTCTCGAATCAACAGAATTATATTGCCCTACTCCTATGACTATTGTCCATGATGTATCAGTACTACTCCGTAAGATCGACAGAAATTTGCAGCTTCCTGATTCAAGAGTAAAACGTTACTTTGTATTACTTCTCGAATCGATCGGAAAAGATGAGGACGATTTCTATGAAAAAATAGAGGAGAATCCTCAAGTATTATCAGTGTTTCGTCTTTGGAATGAAAATTTTATACCTACACTCAAAATCAGCAAGTTATATTATATAACACAGGAATCGATTGGTCTCGCCTTAACGTTCAGTACCATTCAGTTTCTAAGAAATGAAGCTGAAAAGCAAACCAAACTAGATCAAATCCCATTGGCAAAGCTCTATTTAAGAAAAGCAGAGAAGACCAAAGATTGGATTATGTCAAACGTAAGAGTATGTAAATCAAGAAGATTCAAAATGAAAAATTCACTTGATTAAATTTTCTAGGCTGAACCATGTCATATATTATTAATACCTCTCAATACCAATGCTAGCCATTTGACTAATACTATACAAAATTTACAACAATATTGTAAGCAAATTCAAAAATTATCTTCTTTACAAATAGAATAAGTTTTTTTTTTAAAATTTAGGTACTAAACTCGGTTATCCGGAAACCATTATTTGTTCACTCGAAGATTATATCCCCACAAGTGAAATATATCATAAGTTACCTTATGGAAAACTCTTATTTGAAAATGAAGATCCAAGAAAAATATGTCGTTGGATTCGATATTTATCACCCATACGTATGTATCTGTATGGTAATGAGCAGATAATACCTAGCGAATGGAGTAAATTAATGATTGCCAATGAAATTGATCATCGCGCTAAACTCATTTTCAATGATGATGATTGGTGTACATTTCTTGAAAATGAAATCATTAAAGACGATATTAAATGGAATTTTTCTGCTAAACATGGCCGCACATGGAAAATGACTCAGTTGATGCCAATTAAATTAAATAGTCTATACGACAATATACGATTTCGATCTTCGCTCAGACGTGCTCATATTACTTATTTTTCTCGAATGTCGATTGTTAGTACACAAATCTTTGATTGGTTTGATGAATGTTTAGAAAACGGTTTTATAAGGAACGAGGTAAACAAAATTTCTCTGATAGAAATACTAAACCATTGTTTTATAAAACTCACATAAATTTTCGAGGAGAAGGGATATTTTTATGGCTTCCCATTGCAGATATTCATTAGTTTACTGTTTTCACGAAGTAGGCTATTGCTTCTACCTTCTTTGAGTTGCAGACCTTAGGAGAAACCAAAGATCTTCACAGCTAATCTCTTCCCACGTTACAGGATCTTAGATAATAACGTCAGAGCCCGCGGAAAGGACCTAATATTGGGAGAGTGTAAGGGGGTGTTTGCAACAAAGTTCGCAAAAAAAAGCTCAAAACTTGCAAAAAATCTTCTCCTGTCGCTGAGAAAAATTGAAAATTTTCAATTATTGGGGGTATACACCCCCCACTTCCGCGGGCTCTGAATAACGTAAACATATTTAAAAAAAAAAGAAGAGTATTCCCTTGTTAAATCAAAATGGTATACATGAGTTTCGCACTGTAGCCGCAATGGGCAGCGTTAAAATGCATTTTTGAATACTGAATGTTACGATGGAAACTGCAGTAACGTTTTACAGAAATTTTCTTTTCCTTCTTATGTTGACTGTTTAAAGAAGCTAAAATTAGACATGATCATTAATAGCGAAAGTGTATAATTTAAAAGCGAATCCCGTTCATATCTATTCATATTTCGATCTTCTTTTGTTATTCTGTACTTTCAACTATTGTATAACTTGAAGGATAAATTACATAGAACTATGGGATATTTAGCTTCACACTTGAGACGATCGTTTCTCTGATTCGATTCCCACACATTACAAATATCATTTTCTAAACATCTAAGTGAAAAATGATCTAGAAGAGTTTACACTGTTTTTTAAATTTTAGTTCAAACTAGCTAGATTTGATAAAGCCAGCACGGCGATTAATAGCAAAGACGGAGAAGAATTTGATGTTCGCCTAGTAAGATACGATAATATTGAAGAGACAAGTTTTTCGCCAACTGATGATAATGATAAAAATCGTGCGAAATATAGCTTACCATTTTCATCGAATCCAAACGATGAACTAATGAATCATTGTGCAAATAAACTCGATCTTACATACGTGTGGCTTGAAGATGAGCATTATTCGATTGAAAAACGTTTTCTATCGATAATTCAGCCTAATCGATGGAATCATTTGTCAAATATCAATGAATGTCAATTATTTATTCAAAAAAAACGATTACAATATAATCAAAAAATATGTTTAGTTACATCAAATTATTTAGCCAAGCGATTATTTACCTATGAACATGTATCTAATATTTACGCAGCTTATTTATATTTAAATGAAAACGATATGTTGTCTAATTGGATTCAAGATTTTCCAATAATACGAGGCATCTACACACACTTAGATTCACTTTTTCTACAATTTAATTGTGATCTTACAACAAACATTGAATCAACACCTCCTGAACTACCACAAACAGTATGTAGCACGACTTATAGAATTCAAATCGATGTTCTGATTTCTGTTTTTTTTTTTTGAAGGTCAATGAAGATTCATGGCCAGTAACGTTTTTAGAAACTGATCAAGACGGATTTAAACGGCATCGATATTTAATTGAAATCGTACTTAAACTACCGCGTACATTGGAAGCCAAACAAGAAATGGTTGATGAATTACGTCGCGCATCAGTTGAAAATAACGTAACCTTCCAGCAGATTAATGATTTTGAACAAAGCTATCATTCGAATGCAGCTATACAATGGTATACACGTGATACGTTTCTCTGTCGTCTATTAAATCGAGCATTACGTTGCGAAGATGTTGAATCCATAATAAAATATCGGTTTTTCATTGCCGATTTATATCAAAATCTAGAGGAGTTGCATCAACAAATACTTAGTCTATCTAATTATTCACAGCAGCCTATATCAACATGTTATCGAGGACAACAAATGCCGTCGTCGGACATCGATCTATATAGGCAAAACGTTGGAAAATTAATATCGGTCAATACGTTTTTCTCTACGACATTGTCATTGGCCATAGCAACTATGTTTGCTGGTGAATCGAATCATGAAAGTATAACATCGAATAAACCGGTCATATTCAGTATTGAAGTCGATCCGCTCATTGAAAATAAACGACCTTATGCTAATATCAATTGCTTTTCTGCGTATGAAGGAGAAGATGAAGTCTTATTTTCAATTGGTTCAATATTTCGCATAGAAAAAGTCGATGTATTATCTGACAACGATCATATTATAGTGATACACTTAAAAGTGGCCGATGCAAATCAACTGCCTCAAGAACTTGCAACGAGTGATTTTTCAGAATATTTGCCCGAACAAACAATTTTAAGTAAAATAGAACTTAGATCAATTTTGAAATATGCGTTTTTGTTTTGTACACACGTTCTTTTTCTAGATCCAGTTTATGCTTGTATTGGTTTAACATCTTTATTTGAAGCGAATGAGCAATGTGCTCGCATAAAATCGATACTTGAGGATGTGGATGTTCAGTTTTTCGATAATATTGTTGATTTAGAACATTATGCGAAAGTGATTAAACGAATTCAGTCGTTTACCATTTTTATAGACGCTAATTTAAACTGTCCGGAAGAGTCGCAACAGAGAAAGGTGCTATCCTATGCAGAGAATGACACACATTTTAATGATCTTATTTATCAACTACTATCCGAGATGCGAAGTAATAAAAGATCCAAAGAACAAGTTAAAGATTTACTTGTAAATATAGCTGCGGTCTATCAACTTCCAAGTAAGTTAACTTTACAATCAAGATTTTCATTTCGAATTCTATCTTATTGAATAGCATAAAAATCTCCCAGTAGAACATTCTCTATATGATTCTAGAGAAAAGAATTTAGTTTTCTTTTTACAAACATTGAATAGACTGTAAATAGGTATCTAGAACTGTGTGATGAATGCTGTATGTTGAAATAAGTTCACTAAATCTCCCTCAAAATTGTTCTTCAGGTTGAATTCATAAATGAATCTATAGTAAAACCTTGCAAAGAATTACGCAAGGCTCCTCTCTAAAATAAAGGATGATACCGGATCGATACCGATAATGATATTTAAGTTTTCTAGAGAGGCTTATCTCTCATCGATTTTTGTACTCGAATCAATCGATGGAAAGTTCTATATTTTTTTTATTGTTAACCGATTGACAATAATAACAAATATATTTTCATGTATTATTATTATTATTATTTCCCTAGGAAATAGTTTCTACTACGTTCACCTCATACTTTCATCCACTTCGAAAAAGCAATCTGAAGAAGAATTCAAAAGAAAATTTGCAGAATCATCAACCATTACAACGTTCTATCAGTTTAAATCATGCATGTATTTCCTTGAATCTATCAGTGAGCCACGTAAAATCGGAAATGCGACACTCATCTTAGAATCCGATGATGCTAACATTGATAGTCTACTCGATCAACTTGAAAAGGTCACTGCTGTAAAACATATGTACATATGTTCAAAACATGCTTCTGATATTCCATATCGGAGAATTATTCGTGGAAAATTTTGTGATGAAGCTGATTTATATGCGCAACTTTTTTCCGACAATCTCTCGAAATCGTTTATTCAAGCAAACGAGCAAATCGATGTGTATAAGAACAAAAATAAAGCCAATCAATATTTCGAACAGATGGAACAATTCTACCAGCTTATGAAGGAGTACCAATGTCAAGAAAACAATATTCTCGAATAATGCAACCAAATTTGACACAATTAATAAACTACTGAAGAATCAAATTGACTCATTTGGGTTATTTTTGTGTTCTTTCATGTTGTTTTCTTTAGTATACTATTTAAAAAGATTTAATATTTGCTCTTTTTTTCTTTCAGATGATACTGCACTTATAAATGGCTGAAAGATATTATGTACTTATTGATGCAACTCCTCAGTCTCATGCACCTTTCTTTGATGAGAGTCCTATATTCCAAACATGGCTAAAGGTTTATAGTGATGTACCTGAAGCATTAAAATTCATATCCGCAATAAAACTACCATATAGTGTAAAAGTATATCTGGCAAGGGATAATATTCTCGATGATGGTCTACGATCGCCAATAGATAATAAAATGCGTACTCTTATTCAAACTTTAAGTGATTTAAATGCGATTCATCGTATTACTGTATTTTGTCCCAATATGAATAATGACCCTGAGGTACAGATACGAGCCATTGTTGGTGACCCACGATCAATAGACGAAGTTATTTCAGTGGATAATTTACGTATGAAAATGTGTGAAGAAGGTATATCCCATTTTAGAGAACAAATATCTCGTTGTAAGCATGGATATGACACACATCTCCTACCAAACTTCAGCGAAAATATGCAGGCCTTAATGGAATATTTGAGAACAATTATGAATGAACGACGACCAGAAGAAGATGCTTTGGTTGAGCAACATTCGAATAAACCAGGTGAAGAAGTAGCATAATCTATCATTGTTACAAATTTTGTTATATTCTTGATCGATAATATTATTTGTGTAGAACAGTGTTTTTACAGTCCATGATGGACAATGTAATATAAAGATTTCTTGTATTCTTCTTGTCTACAACGTATGGGGCTATGATTTTCTTTAAAGAAAAAGAATCTGACGTTAATTTTCATTTTTTATATTGAGAGAATAGGATGCTGTTGGGGGAGTGCTATTTAGTATTCATCTTCGGTGAGTTGTAATAAATACATAAAGAAAACTAAATCATCATTCATTGTGAGATTTCAGTGATATTCATATTGAGCGATGAGGTATAAAAAAAACAAGCAATACTCTCTAGTATCACCCAGTATGCTAATTTAGACTTGAGTACATACAATGGATGTCCATTTAATTCTGACTTTGTTTGCGGAATCGGTTGTCGAGCTAATTGATCTTGTT